AATTGATCATAGCACAATGTTGCTGTTGCAGTGTATAATGTAGAACTAGAACTTTTAACTACTAGTTTAGTATTCTTTTTATTATGCTACAGTGTCTTGCATCATTTTTTCATTACCTTAGAGGAGGTGGGGAAGGTACTTTCTGGGAGGCTTTGTGGAGTCAGCCTGCAGGGGAAAAGAGGTAGTGACAGCAGCTGTTTCCCCTTAAAAGAGGTAAGGGATGGAAATAAAATGCCGGTGAAAATATAAATACAGCACTTACTTGGAGAGGAACACCTTATATTTTATCAGCAAATGTTTTAATTATCAGTCCACTCCTTAACTGAGTGGAATTGAGAGCAACTGAGAGCAAGATTGGAACCCAGGGATAGGTGCCATGACTTCCTTTGAATGTGCCATAGCAAACCCCTTAAAAAGGGGTGATATAAACATTATTTGTTTCTTTCAGACCCCAGTATATTTTTGGTGGCTTTTGACAGGGACCAGAGATGTGGTTTCATGGGTATAGTTGATGCCCACTTAAGAAACACCCTCTACCAACACCAATTTATAGTCTTAGAGAATTATCTGGGCTGCTAAGAAATTAAGTGATTCACTCATAGTCATGCAGCTAATGTTTATCAGAGATGAGACTTGAACCCAGGTTTTCCTGACTGGGAATCAGGCTTTTAATTTACTATTTATGCTGTTTTTTATTTTTGTTTTCTATATGTACTGATTGATAAGAAAGTCCATGTAGTGTATAGAGAGAATTTGAAATACATGCACTACATATTTTCTATGTATCCTTCAGAGCAAAGGCCACTTTGAATTAAAAACAAAACAAACCAAAAACCCATTATGTTGAGTAACTACTAGGTAGTAGAATAGTACAGGGCTGGCCTCATCCAAGAAGAAATAGGTTCAATTCTGGCCTTTGACATATACTTGCTGGGTGACCCTTGGGGAAGTCACTTGATCTTTGTGTGACCCTGACAGTTCCCTAAGAATTTAAATTGTAGAACAACTGCTGATCTGCTTCAGCAGGGGGAGTTTGCTCAAAGAGAATTCCTTTTCTGAATAAAATGCCAGAGATAGTTAAAAAAAAAAGGTAGAGAGATGAAGACTAAGCTCCAGGGAGATGTAAAGATTAAATAAGACGGTTTCTGCTGTCATGGGACTCACAGTCTAGAAGGAGAAAATAACCAATACATGAATAGGGGATAGAGATCTGGCTTTTCAGTCAAGAAGTCCTGGATTCAAGTGTAGCCTCTAAGGAATACAAGTTGTGTGACCCTGGGCATGTCACTTAATCTCTCGAAGACTATGTGGCCATCTTCGGAGACACTGGTAAAGGCAGTTTCTGTAAACTGATTAGAACACTAGAGATAATACACTAATTAAATTACAAGCCATTACCATAAAACCTTTTATTTGACTATAGTTCCTTCTTATTTTTCCTTGCTGCATCTTCTTTCAGGCTATGCCCACTAAACTTGGATGTTCCCTAAGTCTCTGTCCTGGGCTCTTTTCTCTCTCCTGTTTCTCTTGGTAATCTATCAATCCCCATAAGTTTAAATATTATCTCTGTAAAGATAATTACCATACCTATACATCTGGCCTTTTAAACATCATGAATTGGATGTCCCATAGACATCTCAAACTCAGAATGTCCAAAGCAGAACTCATCTTCAGCCTCAAACACTCCCCTCTCCTCAACTTTCTAATTGCTGTAGAGGGTACCACCATTCAGGTGATCCATCAGGCTCTACACCTTGGTGTCATCCTTGATCCTTCACTCTCATTCTCCCTACATAGCCAATCTAGAAGGGAGGGAATAAACATGTACATAATGCCTGCTATGTGCCAAGCACTCTGCTAAGTGCTTTTTTACAAATATTATCCATTTGGTCCTCTCAACAACCTTGGGAAGTAGGAGCTATTATTATCCCCATTTTACAGTTGAGGGAAACTGAGGCCCACAGAGGTTAAGTGACTTTCCCAGGGTCACATAATTAATATCTGAGACTGGCTTCAAACTCAGGACTTCCTGACTCTAGTCTCCACACTCTATTATTTGTCTTTTGTTTTCCAAGAGAACCAGTGACATCATGGGGTGATGTCTTGACTTGTGCACGAATTGGATTTATTCGAGGCAGAGTTGCATAAAGTTTGTCAGACTCTCTCTTTCTGAGTCATTGAAGTCCAGTGGTAAGACAAAAGATAGGACAACTGGCAATAATGGTCCAGGATACAGGGGATGCCTGATCAGGCTCCAAGCGCTCCACAGCACCTACTTCAACTGCCTCAAAGGCTGTTGGAACAAGTTGTTGTCATCCATTCATTTGGCCAGAGGAAGTCCTGTGTGCTTGGGGTAGACATGCTGCTCGCTCACTGACAGTGTGAGGCCTGTTGGTTACCTTCAACCTAGTTTAGCTGGTCTGCTGAGACAGTTTTACCAATGTGTGGCCATTGCACATGCTGTATAACTTCTTGGAGCCACAGGTGACAGCTGGGTGAAAGGTGGACACTGAAGGTGGATGAGCAACCCTGAATAGGGCTCAGCGAGCTCTCCCACCAGAGGTGCTATTCCTTCTCAAATACCCCATAAACCTCATAGACCTCTTATAGTTCTACTGTACCACCGGCTGCCACCACTCTCTTGTGTTCTTTTAATCTTCACAACATCTCTTGTGTGTATATTTACATGTATGTATGTTTTATGTGTATATTATGTATGTATGTATGAGTGTGTATATATGTATGTGTATATATATGTGTGTGTATATATGTATGTGTGTATGTGCATATGTATATGTATGTGTGTATGTGTATATATATGTATGTATGTGTGTATATATGTGTGTGTGTATGTATATATATATGTATGTATGTGTGTATATGTGTGTGTGTGTGTATATATATGTATGTATGTGTGTATATGTGTGTGTGTGTGTGTGTGTGTGTGTGTATATCTATATATGTATTCCCTTTTTTACCCTCAAAAAACCACTATCCTAGTCCAGATCCTCATGACCTTTCAACTAAACTATTGCAATATCATTCTGTTCAGTCTCCCTGACTCAGATCTCTTTCCTCTACAATCCATCCTCCAAAGTGATCTGCCATCTGCCAAAGTAACTTTTCTAAAGTGAAGACTGACTCTATCTTTGGTCTACTCAGTAAACTCAAGTGACTCCCTATTACCTTCTGGCTCAAATATATATTTCTCTGCTTGTCTCCCATTCCTGAGCTTTGCAATCCAGCCGCGCTGATTTATCTGTTACTCCTCATACTTAACACTTCATGCCCCAATTCTATGTCTTCGCACTGGCTGTCCCCCATACTTGGAATGCTCCACCTCCTCATCTCCATCTCTGATTTTCCCAGACTTCTCTCGATTTTCAGCTCAAATCTTACCTCCTTCAGGATGCCTTTCCTGAGCCCCCTAAACTATTAATCTCTTCCCTCTGAGATTACATTCCATTTACACTCTACTTAGTATGTATATTTGTATTTATTATAGATTGTCTCCCTCATAGAATGTGAGCTCTTTGAGGGCAGGGACAGTTTTTGCCTTTCTTTCTGTCACTTAGCACATTGCCTTCCTTCTCCCCTCTCTAACATGGTAAATAATTTGATGTAGGTTATATATGTGCAAAACATACAGTAAATGCTTAATAAATGCTTGTTGACTGACTGACTAGTATGTGACCACATAAAACCATGTATCTTCCCTATTTCTTCATCTACAACATAGAGAGAATAGAATTTTAAAATAATTTAATACTTTTTTAAAAAAAGTATTCTCCCTTCTACTACTTCTTCCTTGTGAATAAATTAAAACAACAACAAATCCCTCACTATAGATCTACCTGATCTGGCAAAACAAATTCGCACATTACCTATGTCTGAAAATTTATTTTTCTTTCTGCATTTTAAGTTCATCACCACTCTATCTAGAAGTATATAGTGGTGTAGTTCTTTTTTTTTTTTGTACTCATGGTTTATCATTTTGTTGATCAGAATTCTAAAGCTTTTAAAAATTATTTTTCTCAATAATATTGCTATCATTGTATAAATTGTTTTCATTTCTGCTCACTTCACTCTGTATCAGTTCATATAGATCTTCCTAGTTTTTCCTGAAATTGTCCATTTCATCATTTCTTATGGCACAATCATATTCCATTACATTCATATACCACAATTTATTTAGCCATCATCACCTTCATTTGTGTTAACATATTCTTCCATACTTGTCTACTGAGTGAGACAGCTCTTGTAGCAAAAAATAAAAAAGAAAGTGAAAGAAAAATGATAAATACAATTCAACAATCCTAATCAACACCAACCAATCATGGCATTTTCTCTGTTTCCCACTTATATTCCCCATCTATGCACACAAGGGAGGAAGTTGCATTTTGGGAAAATGTACCTTTTTAAAAAAAACATTTTGTTTTTCCTCACATGCAAAAACTTTTTAACATTCATTTTACAAAACATTTTGAGTTCCACATTTTCTCCCTCCCTTCCTTCTCCCCTCCCTAAGATGGTAAATAATTTGATGTAGGTTATATATGTGCAATCACATAAAGCATTTCCATATTTTTCATGTTATGAAAGAAGAAACAGACCAAAAGAAAAAACACGCAAGAAATAAAGTGAAAAATAGTATGCTTTGATCTACATTCAGACTCCATCAGTTCTTTCTCTGGAAATAGGTAGCATTTTTCATCATGAATACTAATTGTCTTGGATTACTGTATTGCTGAGAATAGCTGAGTCATTTATATATGGTGCATTAGTGTCCCAATTTTTCCCATATTCTCTCCAACATTTATCAGGAAAATAGACCTATTACAAAGAGTAACAAACATGAGTAAATAAGTTTATTAAGTGGGATAGTCCTGTTGGTATGAAACCATTAAATTAATCTGACTAGATAAGAGTCAAAACAGTAAATTGCATTGATTGCGTTATCATTCACTTAAATTTTGCTCGCATGTCTCACTTTCTCCTAGGTACAAATGCAGATTTTCCCATGATATTCATTTGCCTGGAAATAGCAAAATCTTGAAAAATAATGCACTTTTTGGCATCAATGAATCAGAGCTCAAAGTCCTGCTTTTTCAGAATGATCCTTCTCTTTTGCCTGAGGTGAGTCATAGAAACACTAATAATGGGGTAGTGCAGGAAATCCAGTATTAATGTGCCTACTATGAAACTCTCTCCTAAGTGCAATGCACTATGCTAGTTGCATACACAGGTTTACAACAAGTTAATAGAATACTTAGCTTGTTCTTTGTACCCAAGGCACTTAAGAATGGAGTTAAGAAGTGGGTTGATATGTGGCTACCAATGGTGGTACAGGTCTCTTGAGATCAAATGGCCCTAGAATCTGCTACAGAATTGTTGAAGATTTTCACCTCTGGAAATAGTATGGTATTGAACTAAGGGGTATGCTAGAAAGAGTATTAGACTGAGAGTCCAAAGATCTGAGCTTTTGTTCCAGCTCTATGACTCATCAGCTGAATAACCTTAGTAAATCATTTAACCACTTTGGGATACAGTTTACTTAACTTTTTAAATGAGAACATTGAGTTAGAACAGTGGCAGCCTGGTGAAGCTTATGGACTCCTTTTTCAGAATAACGCTTTTAAATGCATATGAACACAAAAGATTTCAATGGAAATGAATTATATTGAAATACAATTATCAGAATGTTAAAAAACAAAACATATACAAACGCAAGTTAATGGACCCCAGGTTAAGAACTGCTGAGCTACATGATCTCCAGCATTTCTACAATTCTATAATTCTATAATGCTAAATAAGGTACCATTTCTTATTATTCATTACAATTTATTTATTTGTTACTATTTTTATATTATTACAATATTAATATATCAACATATTATTTATTATAATTTATTATATATGTATGTATTTTATTTATATGTAAAAACAATTTTAATCATTTTTTTAAATTTTGAGTTCCAAATTCTTTTTCCCTCCTTACCTTCCCCCCTCATTGAGAAGGCAAGCAATTTTATATAGGTTATACATGTGCAGTCATGCAAAACACATTTCCATATTAGTCATACTGTGAAAGAAAACACGGACCAAAAAAACACCAAGAAAAATAAAATTTTAAAAAGTATGCTTCAATCTGCATTCAAGCTCTTATCAATTCTTTTTCTGGAGGTGGATAGCATTTTTCATCATAAATCCTTCAAAATTGTCTTAGATCATTTTATTGCTGAGAATAACAAAGTCATTCACCGTTGATTGTTACTGTATTGCTGTTACTGTATATAATGTTCTCCTAGTTCTGCTTACTTCATTTGCTTTAGTTCATGTATGTCTTTCTAGGTTTTTCTGAAACCATCCTTCTCTTCATTTCTTATAGCACAATAGTATTCCATTACAACACCTCCTTTCTTGTTCTCTGAGACAACTATCCAGTATAAATTGGCTATGCAAACATATCCTTTGATGGAACTACTACAGTGCAGGGCCACCTTCAGTCATCCTGATCTATATCTTGCTACTGGACCCAGATGGCTCCAGAGGAGAAAGTGAGGCTGGTGACCTTGTACAGCCCTCCTTCACTTAACTCCAATTCACTTGCAAATTATGGCAAGATCCTCTTCAAGAAGGAAGGACAAAACAACAACCCTATCAAGTTAGTTTTCTTATTTTGCAGAATCTCATTGTTGAGAGTTATCAGAAGCCATAGATTCCAACTTCAGAGGCAATGAAAGAATCCTTTCTATAATATCTCTGTTGGTTCTGCCCTCTTCTGAAATACTTACAGCAATGTTTAGTTTAGAATTTGTTTCATAAGGCAGTCCATTAATATTTCAGTTAGTTTTAGTCCATTTAGTAGTCTCTTGTCTTCTCAACACTCTACTAATCCCCACTGTGTTTGGGGATTAGGTCAGCCTTTCCCAACTGATGGGCATTCCCTCCATTTCCAATTGTTTATCACTACAAAAAGAACTGCTATAAATATTTGTGTACATATAAAAACTTTCCCCTTTTTTATGTCTTTTGGATGCAGACTTTGGAGTGGTATTGTTGGGTCAAAGGGTATACACAGTTTATAGCCCTTTGGGCATAGTTCCAAATTGTTCTCCAGGATGGTTGAATCAGTCCACCACTCTTTTGTTTTCAAAGAGAACCAGTGACATCATGGGTGATGTCTTGACATATTTGTGAATTGGATTTAAGTGAGGCAGAGTTGGACAGAGTCCTCAGCCTCATTCTCTCTTCCTGAGTCATTGAAGTCCAGCGGCAGGACAGGAGTCAAGATAAATGGCAACGTTCCAGGATACACTGGATGACCTTGGTGTTTTCAATTTCTGACCAGGCTCTAAGCCTTCCAGCTCCTGCTTCAGCTGCCTTCATGGCCTTTGGAACAAATTGTTCTCATCTACCTATTCCACTAGGGATAGTCTTCATGTGCTTGGGGTAGACATACCTCTAATTCATCCACAGGTTTGAGGCCTGTTGGTTACCCCCAACCTGCCTGTCTGCTGAGATGTTTTTATTGGGTTATGGTTGCTGTGCATGCTACATATTCTGGAGCTACAGGTGACAGTTGGGTGGCAGGTAGACATAAAAGGTAGATGAGTAGCCCTGAAAAGGGCTCAGCAAGCCCTCACACCAGAATTGTTAGTCCTCCCCAAACACAGTGGGGATTAGTAGAGTGTTGAGAAGACAAGAGACTACTAAATGGATTAAAACTAACTAAAATATTAATGGACTGCCTTATGAAACAAATTCTAAACTAAACATTGCTGTAAGTATTTCAGAAGAGGGCAGAACCAACAGAGATATTATAGAAAGGATTCTTTCATTGCCTCTGAAGTTGGAATCTATGGCTTCTGATAACTCTCAACAATGAGATTCTGCAAAATAAGAAAACTAACTTGATAGGGTTGTTGTTTTGTCCTTCCTTCTTGAAGAGGATCTTGCCATAATTTGCAAGTGAATTGGAGTTAAGTGAAGGAGGGCTGTACAAGGTCACCAGCCTCACTTTCTCCTCTGGAGCCATCTGGGTCCAGTAGCAAGATATAGATCAGGATGACTGAAGGTGGCCCTGCACTGTAGTAGTTCCATCAAAGTATATGTTTGCATAGCCAATTTATACTGGATGGTTGTCTCAGAGAACAAGAAAGGAGGTGGAACTTTGCCCAAAGGGCTATAAAAATGTGCATACCCTTTGACCCAGCAATAGCACTTCTTAGGCTATATTCCAGAGAGATCGTACAAATGGGAAAAGGACCCACATGTACAAAAATATTCATAGCAACTCTTTTTGTGGTGTCAAAGAATTAGAAATTGAGAGGATGCCCATCAATTGGGGAATGGCTGAACAAGTTGTGGTACATGAATGTAATGGAATGCTATTGTGCTGTAAGAAATAATGAACAGGCTGATTTCAGAAAAACCTTTAAAGACTCGTATGGTCTCATGCTGAGTGAAGTGAGCAGAACCAGGAGAACGTTGTACACAGTAACAGCCACATCGTGTGATGACTAATATTGATAGAGTTAACCCTTCTCAGCAATACAAGGATTTAAGACATCTCCAAAGGCCTCATGATGAAAAATGGTATCCATGTCCAGAGAAAGAACCATGGAGTTTGAATGCAGATCGAAGCATACTATTTGCTATTTTTTTTTCTTCTGTTGTGTTTTATTTCCTCTTTCTGGTGGTTCCTCCTATTGGTTCTAATTCTTACTTACAACATCACTAATGTGAAAATATGTTTAATAGGAATATATATGTATAGCCTATATTAGATTGTGTGCTGTCTTGGGGTAGGAGGTGGGAAGGGAGGAGGAGAGAAAATTTAAAACTCAAAAGCCTATGGGAGTGATTGTTGATAATTCAAAATAAATTAATTTAAAAAAAAAGAAAGGAGGTGACTAGGGAAGAAGTGGCTAAAATTGAAAATTAATTTCAATTCTATTGTTAAGGCTTAGTCAAATTAGGTTTAATATTCTCCTTTACAGTAAGTTCTACTCAGGTAACCTCAGTTCACTTGGGTCACAATTCTGTTGTTGTCATTTAGGTAACCTAATGGGTCACTTATGTCATAAGTCTTATATTGGGTGGGGTAGCCAAAAAAAGAAAGAGAAGGTCATTAAGCATTTTGTTATGATTAGCTCCTGCCCTTCTCGGTTCAGTTTACAACTTCACCCTTGCAATTTCACCCATGAAACTTGCCTAAAGGTCAAGTCTTGTAATTTTGTCTTGTGATTGTATTGTACTGTGTCCGGACTCAATTGTATTGTGAATTGAATTGGTATGTTGTCTACCTTTGTAGCCTCACCGTCTACCTCCTTTCCTCAAATTTAAGTTGATTCAGTCAAAGCCTTTGTAGACTATACCCTTGTCTGCAGACTGATTCTATCACTGGAGGATTACTCCCATCTCCCAAAGAGGAAGTAATGGGGAAGAGCTGGGGTGATTTATAACCCACCTCTTCATTAACATGCCTACCAATTGGGACTGTCATGATGTAATGCCATCTTGTTAATTGTTATGAAAGACCCTGTCAGCCCTCACTCCCAGTCTTTAGTAATGAGAGAGAGGGTACAATTCTGCTGGCTTAATCTCAGTTGAAGCTAAGTTTTTCAAGGAAGAGCTCATGTTCAGCCATTTCCCAGTGAGTTAATTTTTACCACAAAAAGTGATTCTATGACTATTCTGGTATTTAGGACTGTTCTAGACTCCCTTGGGCATATGTGCTCAGTAGTGAGATCAATGGGTCAGAGTATGAATAGTTTGTTTACACCTTTAGGTTGTCCCAAAAGTCTTGGTGCAGTTTTAAGCTTTCATAGCTTCAATGAGTGCACAGTGTCTGGCACATAGCAGGCATTTAATAATTTAAGTTTTCATAGCTTAAAACTACACTAACACTTTTAGAACATCCTGTAACTCTTGATGCTATGTAAAGAGACAACTTGTGTCACAGTGGATAGATAATATCAGTCATGAGGGCTTGTGGAAGATCATGCCCACAGAAGTCCCTCAGCACTGTATACCAGTGTGGTGATGGCATGCCTGCATGGGTTCTGGATTATGGATGGTGCTCTTGTGCTTTCCCGTTCACCAATGGAATGAAACAGGGTTGTGTGCCTGGT